GAACAACAGCTGTAAGCTCCTGGTTCCCTCATTGCATTAAGAGCATTGCAGTATATAAGTGGTATACAACAGAGGTGTGTTGTGTGAGCTGTGTTTCACACATTTAGATCTAGATTTATGTTACTACTCAAATTTTAATATCATTGAAATAGTTTTTAATCTGTCATTTTACATTTCTAATATATTAATTTACAAGCAAAAGAAAAAATGGCACATTTGTGAAGGTGTGTGTTACTAATTTAGGACTCCTTCAATTTCTAATCAAGTCTTTTTATCCAAGTGTCTGCTTTTGCCCACTGTTCCAATCACAACTAGACAGCAGAGAGAGCAAACCCCCACCCAGGCAGCTCACTGCTCCCATAATGCCATTACACCTAAAAGCGATATTCCTGTGATAGTTTGAGCATCATAATATGATTCCTTGGCCATGAAGACCTACCCCTGACATTTGGAATCACATTGATATTACTGTATGATTAGTTTGTAAGTTATTCAAGACAAATACTATTGAATTAATGGCAGTTTTCTTTAAGATCTAGTTCAGTAGTGTTGGAAGATAAACCTATTGACACTTACTGAATCAGCAGTTTCAGCTAGAATATGATCTTAGTTACATGTCTGTAGCATTATTTATCTCACAGTACGATCTTAGTTACATGTTTGTAGCATTATTTATCTCACAGTAACATGTTTTCTGTGAGCCCTGTAAATTTCAACATTGTGGATTAGCATATCCGATTATTACATGGATCCTAATCAGACTTGAGTGTGTGGTAGATCTTATGTGGATGTTATCATGCAGCTGTTGTCCATGCATTCTAGGCCTTCTGTATGAATTTTGAATTTCCATCCAAATCCATTCATTGCTTTAGTTATGCTGTGAACAAACATCAGCAAACAAACAAATGCTGGCAAAAACATTACCTATAGGCCTGTAATTACACTAATTTTTGAAGTGCCTGCCCCACTCCACTCACGCTGATATTGTGCTGTGTAACAAGGTTACTGAGGTTGTCTTGTATTTCCCTCCATCTCTTTCTTATCCTCACCCCTTTGCAGTGAGAGACATGCAACAGATGTATGAACTGTGGCTGCAGCTTACCAATCAGAGTAGACGCACAGATGGCTCTGCTGTGACCCCGCCCCCAGAGGACAAGCAGGTCACCATAACAGCAGATTACACAGAAAGCATGGTTAGTGGTTCTAACACTCATCAACAGTCACACCTGCTACACCTCTTTTGACAGCCCTGACTATCAACTGAATATGGTACTGACATTTTTTTCCATCAGGAATAAGTAGCTTGACAGTCTTAAGAGCTCAGGCCTTTGCATGTTCGTGTGTTTAAATGTGCATGTGTGTGTGTGAGATGAGCTGGGTTGGTGTGTATCATTTCAGGGTGGCCGGCGGTTGTCAGACGGGGATGACCTCTGAGTGTCGCCGTGTTGGATTGCTGCAGACAGAGACAGGCTCACCACACCACCTACAACGCACCAGTCTGTCCTCTTACCAGTCTGACCTCTAGCATCTAGCCAGCAGTGTGAGAGCAGACAGACACACAGCTGAACAGATGACCCCCCCCCCACACACATACAAATGCATTCACTCAACACATGATACACAAATCACAGGCACCAATTAACATAAAGCTCTGTTAGGGAAATACAGGGCTTGGCTTTAGTGTTTAGTTTTGCATCATGCTGTAGTTACACAGCACTGTTAGGTTCCCCTATAGCATATTACACCACAGAAATACCACAGACAGCTAGTTTTGCTCTGATTAAAATAGTTAGCTAGTATTCTCTAGTCAGAGCATCAGCGTCCACCAGGCACCTCTTTTTTTGTTTGTTTAGTTTCCTCACAGCACTGAAACACTCGTGGGTTGGGCGCGCTGGTCGCAGCTCTTAAATGTTGCTTGGTGTGAATTCAAAACTCAATTGAAACTTGGCGCTCTTACACAAAAAGTTGAAATTTTAATGTTGGGGTGCCAAAATTGTGAAGCCAAGCATTGTCAAGGCTGTAGAAACTGAAAAGAGGTTCCTGGAGGACACTCCACTTTAAGCTGCATAACAACCAAATCTTGCTTTTCTTCCTTCATGGGAATATAGCGAAAGGGTCAATGATTTTTTGGGAGATGAATCACTTTGAATAATTTTGTCTTTCCAAGAGGAGTTGTGCTTCCTTGTTATATTGTCTGCCATATTGGTGGAATGCTATGAATGTAATGCCTGCATGGGCCTTTAAAATGAGAAAATTTAAAATGTTCCTGTGGTCGTGGAATGTATGTAATAATGCTTACCTGCCCAAAAAACAAACTTGTGTAACATTATGTTTTTCCCCTATTATAGATTTTTTTTTTTAAACAACTTCATGAGTTATATAATCTAATCATACCAGGTGTTCTTGCATGGGGCGAACACAGATGTACACACATTGAAATATTAACACATTGTTGCTGCCAGTCAATGTCCATTTGAATCGAAGGAACTGCATTTGAAAAAAGAGGGTTGATTTGGTAAAAGAAAATGAAATAAAATGTAAAAATCTCAGCATAATATCTGGGACTAAAGTACACACGACTAATGAATTGAAGTACTTATCGCCAAAGTAAGATGTGAAGCTGTTGTGAGAGGCTACAGAGAGGCAGCAGCACACAGAGTCATGGCTAGAGCTGCTCCCAGCAGCAGGTCAGCTCAGACCGCACATGTCCATGAGGAAATGAGGACCCCACTTAGACTGGAGCACAGTGAAATTACTGGCAGTGCAGGAGACTTAAGTTATGAATTAAAGATGAGGTTTGTAATAATGTTCAGACAAATTATAATTTAAAGACTAAAAAGCTGAGAGAAAATTAAGGAAAAGATAAAAGAAGATAATTAAAAAAAATATATTTATAGTTGTTAGAATATTTGAGATGATTTGAATGTAAAGCCACTTCTTCAGTGGAACTGGGGTCATTGTTTCCAGTCACTCACAGCCTTCAGGTGGGGGCCTGTGTTTTTCAGATCCATTCCTGATAGCTAAGGGTAGCTGATAAAATAAACCTTTTCATCGCGGCACACCTGCTAGCTTGAGACAGGGAAATGATTCACACCACATATTGTGCCTATAAACAACACATCTACATGTGACACAAACACACACACACAGGCAGGATATCTGTTGCTATCTTAGTCTAGCCTTTAATGTGGACGGAGACGAGACAGAGGTATGTCTATATACATACATATTATACATATTTACACGTAATGGTACACTACTAATAATTGATAACTTAGTGGTTAAGGTTAATAAATATATAAACTGAACACGTATTGATTACATAGAAGAACTTCTTGTTATTGAGGTATTGCTATATGACGTATTGCTGAACTAGACGAGTATAGTGTTTGTTTGTTTGTTTATGATTTTTATTTTGTAATTTTTCCTTCTGTGTGGGTTGTTCCAGACTGGGTTGGCTTGAAGGGACTGCAGCAGAGACTGATTTGAGTTTCATATTCAGTGTGTAGAAATGATTTACCGAGGGTTAAATCTTCACATCAAAAAACAAGCAAGTATTTTTGTAAATTTTTTTTTTTTGTTTGTTTGTTTATCTGGAGCGACCTCAGCTCAGCGCAAAATAGGTTACAGGTTACACTCGAGCAGTACTGAGGTAGTCAGTGGGTGCAAAACATTCAAACTAAATGGAACAAGGAGAGAGTTTACATATAGATGAGGTCAGAGCAGAGAAAAGTCTGTATTTGTTTAGTGATGTTCCAGCTCTGTCTGCTGTCCCTCCTTTAAGCCCAGTGGATGCATCGAAAATAGAGAAATGGTTGTGACACCAAGGGCTGCAGCGTCTTTAATTATCCCCCTCCTGAAAACTGACCGAATTCAGACAGCTTGAGCTGAGCCTGAAATACAGATCTCAGATCAGTTTTGCTGATCACTCAGCTGTGGTTTTGGGGATCGTGGATAATGAGCCTTTGTCTAGAGCAGCCCAGGTATTAACTTCTTTGAGGGATCGTATTGCTACTTCTCTAGTATTATGAATATAATGACTATAATGATATGCTATCTATTGACTATTTCTATTTCTCTTCTAAATGCTATTGATATATGTATGTTAATTGCAATGTATAACTTTCTCTTTATATATGTATCCATGTATGAATATAATGATTTACAGTAAATATGCGTCTGTGTATGCCAGAGGGCTGTCTGAGCTCTGTCTGGGAGGCACTGAGCAGAAACTCTGCAGCTTCTGATCGTTACTGTAAGGGTCTTAAGTTGTTGACCTACAGGTGTTGATGCCAGCTGCCACCAGCTGTAGTTGTCAGTAGCACAAGGTACTTTAGACAATGTTTTCTGAGCTCTGACTGTAGGCTTTAGGATAGTGTAGGAACTGGCCAGAGTAAAAAAAAAAAAAAAAAAGTATAGTTGATGATTAAAGTATAACTTGTCTTCGTGTGTGTGTTGATCTAGAGTCAGAGCTCATTGCCTGCGCTGTTTGTGTTAGTTTGAAGTGATTCACCAGACAGAAGGACAGCTCTGGAAACAAAGGCATACATAGAGGCATATGTACTCCTGTATACCGCCTTATTCAATATACTACACCTATAAGGTGATACATACTCCTATTGTATAATCCTGCTTACGATATAGAGTATATGATACCTGATACCTATTATAATACTTAGACACCCTTTATAAGGTAATTTAGATAAGAGATGGTGGAGCTATTCTTTTTTTCTTGTGGCTGTGGGACCGTGTGCCGTGGTCAATCGTTTCCAGTTTGTCAAGAAGTAAAGAAGTAGTTGTTAGGAGAGTGCCGCATGCTCATATGCTCTTTACCATTCATATTCTGTTAGTTCAGGATATTTGCCAAGCAGCCAAAGGTTGGTAGGTCTTAATTTTGGCTGGAAAAGCTGTGAAACAAAGACAATTTGGAATTCAATGTACAAATTTGGCCACATTATATGTATCAGTGTGACCAGTGAAGAAGAAGTTGTCCTTGTTTGAGTCCTATCTTTAAAGATCAGGTTTTAGCGAAAACAAAAAGCAGAGCATTTGACAGGAGGAGGCTCCTTTCCTGC